GATTTGCGTCAGAACTGGTATTTAAATGCACAACAATGCCTTTAGCGAGATCACTGCAAATGCCGCCAACTTTTTCACCGATTGCCTTCAATGAGTCATACAACAAGCTTGTTGAGTTGTATTGCAAAATTCAATTATTATTATCATTGTTATTGTTAAGTCGAACAGTTCGACCAAACTTTTTGCTTTGCACAAAGCGATGGGTAACATTAAGCCAAAGTGGATTCCTTCATGCAGGTGGAGGGCTCACCTTAGCGCATGGATGGTGAATGACGTTGAAGCGGTTTTCAAATACGCATGCATTTCACAGTGTGGAGGTGCGGTAAAGCTCTGTGACTTTTGATAAATCGTTGCCTTATATTTGAAGATGCCAGTTAGAGCCAGAAACCCATCGTTTTGACTTGTGCATCACAACGGCACTGGCTCGTCTCAGTATATACACTGATCGTTAAGCCGCGAAGAGTAATGAAAGCGATCTGCAGTTTTTGATAATTACCCTACCTACACATGTGATTAAATGCGTAATGTTCATTTACCATGCATTTCTGCCTTCAGCAATCCCAAATGTTAGAAACAAAGCTACTTTAATGACAAGAATCATTTAACTTCAAACAGTTGTTATCGTAAGGCCTCAGTCAACCGGTATTATGGTTGATTTCAGTCCAAAAGTAGAGCACTTTTGATAAGCTCAACAGCAGATTTCACCGTTGTCTTTGCCTCTTCGGGTGACCCGAGTGACGGATTAACCTCGGCTAGCACCATGGATTTCAGATGACCTAAATTGCAAAAAACGGTTGGTTATTCTCTCGATTCCCACAATTTTATGAACTTCACCGTTATGAATAGTTTTTAAGCTGTCAGAGGGGACTTGAATGCTGCCTTCATCAACGCAACGTACCACAAGCCTATTACGTTGCGCAGCAGTCTCGAATAAATTTTTCGGTATGCATTTACGTCATCAGCGGATAACCACAACCCTTTTAGTGCAGTCTCAGATACACCCATTTCGCAATGTCAACTTGGTGTTTGCCGATAGCAAACAATACTAGCCAACATTAAATGATACTTTGCTGCTTTAAATATCACATAAATGCGCTTCACTTCTTTTGTTTTGGCCAAGATGAGGTTGCTATCGACAACGCATAAAAGGCATTGCTCTTCTAGCATTACAGCCTACCCGTCTGAGCAAGTGTTTTGCAAATGTATTTTCCTTCGTTTAACGAGAGACCCTCGGGAACGGCGGTTCCGGTGCTAGGAGCATGCTTTGGATCCAGCGCATCGATATCAAAGCTTAGATGGATTTGAGAGTTGGGACTGTAAAGCAATGAAAGGAAGTTTTACAAGGGCAATCCTCCATTTCTTAGTTACTTTAGGTAAACGCTCACCTATATCGGAATATGGTTTTTAGAGTGATATCCATGACTTTCTGGATGCCTAAGTTTTTCACATCTTGTGCAGTGAAATACGGAATGTTAAATTCCTTTAGGAACGCTCTGAAATAATTAATGGTCAATAATATCAGCGGATGCAAATGGCTTAACATACAATTCTGGTGGATCGACGTCTCGAAGTCCGATGTAGAGCAACTGATTAGGTCCGAGGCTGCACATAGGAATGGAGTCGATTAGCGCCAATCAAGTCAGCAACAGTGATAGAAATCAAGATTCTGAACATACACCGGTTTGATTTTTTCAAAGCCATCGGTTTGGGGAATGAGTTTGCTTGTTTCCGTGACAACGAAGGAGAGGGGCATGCCATGAGTGTGCCGAGAAACAGAGTTCTGCGGTGTGTTGATATCCGCGTGGGCATCAACCCATACGACAAAGGAATTGGGGAAAATTGTGAAGTGACCTGCGATTGATCCACATCCAATGCTGTGATCGCCACCCAATATAAGTGTCATGTCGTTCGCAATTACGCTTTTTTCAACTGCCTCTTTTAGCTCAATAGTAGTTTTAATCAGCGCTCGCTGGTTTTCGCAGTTCAAAATCACGTCCGGCTCGTTATCCTTTGGCTGGGTAATCTCTCCATAATAATTCACCTTCGCTTCTAACATTAAGGAAAAGAGTCGTTCATATCATTAACATAGACCATTGCCGTTGTTGTAAGAGTTCGATAAGAAATTTAAAAATCATTTAAGCCAATTAGCCATCCAATTTACCCAATTTCTTTACGAGGTCTTCGAGACCGTTTTTTCGAATCTCCTTCGGTGCATTCTGTACTCCATCCTTTGGTTGACCTTTGTCGACAGCTGCAGCTACGATACCCAGAGAAGAGACTTTGCTCCCGAAACCGTTTCCCATGGCACAGAGTAGGTATTATGCTCAGCAGCGGTTGACATCGCGTTTTATACTTTATGACTCCTAAAAATGAGTGCGAGAATGCACGCACGCATTTAAGAGGTCATTGCCATTCATGCGGTTACGATTGCACTTTTTGTTTTGACCGAGAAGATCACACGCCAGTAACATGCTGGGGTTAAGTGGTGCAAAAGAGGCACTCATGTTTACCATCTGATGTTGCGATTTATGGACGGGCAAATGAAACAAAAGCCGATTATAGACCCATGATAAGCAAATGCTTACGACGCTCTTACGCCGATAGGTGCAGCGTCAGCACACATGGGCGTTGGCGGAGACTTCACTTAAAATTGGTTGCCAATAAGGAAACCCGAGAGTAGGGTGAGACAAAACTTG